GGGAAAGAAAATAAGGAACTGGACAAGCATTGAATAACCCCTCCTAGGTACATCCTTTCAGCAAGCAGCAGTTTAGGAACTTTAAAGTCTCTCGTGTCCTCTGAGGAAGTACTCCAGGCTAGAAAAGCTCAAGGTTTATGAGTTTTTGAGAAGGGGCTGGAGAACTTCAGAGTTCTTTGCTTCCCTGCCCTCTGTGACCATGATTCAAGCCATCTTGTTACACATACAAACGAGGAGCTGAGTTGCCTGTATCTGCAACATTACATTCATTGTTTATTGTGCATTCTGAGAGCACCATTCGTCTCCCAACCACCACCCTCAGCATTAGTGCACGCAGGCTTCTTCAGCCACTGCCGGATCCTGTTGAGGCAAGACGACAGAAAGCACCTGCACAGATTGCAGCAAGAGACATATGCTTGGTCTACACACTTGTAGAGCACAACTCCTGCCAGAGGTGCTCTTGTCACCTCTGATGTCCCCAGGACAGCCGATTCCCCAGAAGTCTGGCACTGGGAGTAGGGAGCAGCACAGGTACACACTATTTCTTAATAAAAGGACAGGGTCTCTTATCAAGCCACACTGTAGGGCACCCGCTGTGACGAACCTTGCTGTACCTGGGCTGCAGCTCCTCGAGCTGGAAGAGGTGAAAAATATGCACGGGGGAGGAGTCACTAATCTCCCCAGGGGACTCCCCACGAGCACTCAGGGCCAGGCCCCTGGGGCTTTCACATCTGGGGACACAGCTCAGGAGGCCCTGAAGCAGACACCTCTTTCGCACAGACCAGTCAGAAATGGCTCACCACGGATATGCAGGTCTGAAGCACTGGTAACCAATATTGTCCTTTCCATTGCTTTGGGCTCTGTTTTCGTGATAAAAGAGGCACAGAGCATCACGTGTAGCATGATCACACATATTGGTATCCTGTCCTTTGGTATGCCTGGCTGTGAAACACCACCGGCAATTGGGCTTGCACTTGTGATTCTCAGTGCTGTGCCTAAGAAGCACAAGCAGCCAGTCAACTTGCTCTGGTGATCATGGGACTCATTTCTCCTTAGGGTGCAAGCTGACAAGTGGCACGTTATATGCCACAACCACAAATCCTGCCAGATCTATTAGGCACAGCCCAGAACAGCTGATTCTTATGTGCAATATATGCCATAGGTGGGACTGGGTTTGGGTGCTTGTGGAAAGCGTATCTATCAATTTTTCTAACAAGCTAACTGCAGTGAGAATGTGCATTTATGGCTCACATCCACAAGACCTGGGATCCCAGCATAGGACCTGCCTTTCTTTTTCATTACGATGAGGTGTGGCCAGACATGCAGATTGTGGGTGAATTTTGAGACCGTGAGGCCTACAATGGAGAAGCCTTCAAGCCAAAGTAATCAAACTAATAATCTGTTCTAATGGCAGAACATGCTAAAGATAAGACTGTTGGGAGTTCTGGCTTCAGGCAACCAGATGAACCACTTCCGTCCCAATTTCCACCAAAATGAAAGTGAAGAGAAACCCATGAAAACACTCGGAGCGGACAAGGTAGTACCACTCACTGCACTGCATGATACGAACCTGCTGAAGGAAAGCCACAGTCCAGAGACTTTCTGCCAGACCAAGTTTACTGGAACACCGTAAGAGCACCACAGAGATCCGACCATTGCAAACACCAAAAAAAAAAAAATGACAGGAACGTGCCAGCTAATGCTCCCAACCAGCTCTTGACTCCTAGCTTCTATTACGCAAGAACAAAGAGATGGAGCAGAATGCCAGGCACATCCTAAAGGGTGCACCTACAAGCCTCAAGTTCACGAGCAGTAACAGAAACTTCAGCAAGAAAGCAAAAAGCTGCAGAAACCAAAAAGCCAACTACCAAATACAACTGACAGCACCCTCCCTAAGGGCTACCCAGAGGGCCAGCAGATCTAGGCACGATCCAGTCCCGCCACCTTCTCAGCAGACGAGGGAATCTATGTCTGCTGTATCAGCTGTAGTCCAGCTACTTAAAGGATTAGCTGAGAATGAGAGCGCTGTTAATGATTAGCATTCCCTAACCTCGTGCTCTTGGCTCAGTGGGAGTGCCCAGCGAGGAAAGGGACTGAGGAGCTATGGCAGAATGCCATGCCACACAGGCACTTTCCACCTATTTTGGGGAGGGCAGCTATTCCCCAGTTACACTGCGGTGCCCTTCCCACTTTTCCAATGACACCTTCAGCTCCTTGGCCCAAAATGCCCTAGGTCTGTCCCCTCCCATACTGTAGTGTTATCTGGTATCAAGGGGACAGATGCAGCAAATGTGTTTTTAATCCAATAATCTCATTTTCAATAAAAATATATAATATATATTTAAAAAGGTTTAGAAAAGCTTCTATGTAATTTGCAGCTACTTTTACATATAGATTACAATAATGTACAACCCTTCCCCAAGGTGGTTTTAAACTGCAGGGACCTGCCAATTATTTCCCCTCAATCTTACACATTACCAAACATCAAATGTATTTGTTCCTAATACAGCTCTGAAAAAGTCGTCTGTCACTTGTACCTTTCTCAGAGGGAGAGAGGCCTAATATGCCTAATGGGGACACACTTAACATTGGCTTCATATTCACTGTAGAAAGTTCCCAGATTAGTAAAAAAATATGTCATCTATAGAAAATGCCCTTCTGAAAAGCAACCAGGGCTCTGTTAAGGCCACACCCAGGCTTTCCACTTCTCCGCTGCAGCAAGACAGCTCAGAAACAAACCTATGATGTTTTGATGTCCCAGAAACAGCTATTAGCACCTGTGCCTCTTTTACAGCAGCCTGGTGTATCTAGAAAGTGCTGACAACAGCACAGGGACTTCTCTGAACATGCTTCTGATTCAATGGGGCTCAGTTGGCACAGTGAAAAACCAAACATCCTCCTGTTCTGCTCGAATGAACAAAAGGAAGCCTTCTATACCATGACCACTACCCTCCTCCGCAGAATGACAAAGGGTGCTACAGAGAAGGGCACACCAAAACCACCGAAACCAACCCCCTGAAATAGCACACCCGCTTTCCACAATGTTTCCACCAATAAGCTTCTTCCAACTCCTCTGCAAGTCTGTGGGATACCAAGTGCACATCTGGTGGCTTTATGAAAACGTCCAACTACTTCATCCCAGAGGGCAAGCCAAGTGAGAACAGAGCAGGCCCCCTGCCAGTCCGAGGCACTGGGAGACTTTCTGCCATAGCAGAGATAGGATAGCCATTGAGATATTCCTCCAGCAAACTCAACTCTTCACATGGGAAAATGCTATTGCCTGGCACAGAAACCTCCGGCCGAGGTTTTTACCAGGCCTCCTCTTTGGACTTGTACAGCCCAGGGCCTCCCCAGAACGTCCAAGGCAGGGTCAGGTTTGTAGAGAGAGACGTGGCACAAAACAGGATTATTATTTCAAAGTCTTTCCTGTTGCAGCCAGGTGCAGGTTGCCCCCTTCTTCCCAGGTAGGCAGCCCCTTCTGCCCAAGGTGTGGTGTGCAGGGAAACTGTATCCAACATGCTCCATTCTTTTCTCTGCTGGGGTGGGAAGCGAAGTCAGAACCCGATGTTCAAAACCTGAAGGACACTAGGAAGAAGAAACAGAGTGAATGGTTAGTTCTCAGCTTCAGCGGGAATCCTGGGACACCCAGACGAGGAATTAATTACTACCAATCAGCCCTGTGCTCCTCAAAGGATGTCCACTTCCAGTAGGGAATAAACACAGATCACCACAGACCTTGTTCAATGGAAGTCAAGTGGAGGATGCAACTGCTCAGCTCCAAACTTCAGAGAATGATTTAAAACAGGAAGACAAAACAAAAGCAGAAAGGTCAAAAGTAAGTACTCCTCCTATAAGCTGATGGCACTAGGAAAGCTCTGCAAGATAAGCAGGTTTAAAGGAGGACTTGGCTAACACTAGTAGCACTGCAGGAAAGCAGCAGGGAAGAGGAAAGTTGCTCTTCCCCTTCTGCAGCCACAAACGCAAACTGGTAGGAAAAAGACTACGGGCTTTTTAAAGACCACACACACTAAAAGAATGGTTTACATGCTCAACCACTTAAAGAAATCCTGTATCTACCTACACATAAAGTAAATATTTCCAGAAATTCTCCTCCCCCAAGTCTTAGAAGAAATCCCTTCTCAGGCTTTCTGCCTCACCCTGGTTACAGTCAGCTGATAGCAGCAAAGCAGCAGCCGCAACTTCTTCAAATGAGCCTTGGAATAAGTCTAAGCAGATTTAAGACACTGACATGAAACCTCCACTGGGTGCCTGTGATCTGCTTTGGAAGGCAGAGTAGTGAAATAAACGTAGGGCACCAACTTGGTTGCATCCAGCATTAGGACAAGTGAACGTGAAATAAACTTGTGGAAGGGAACGATGCTACACAGTGGGGAGTCAGCCCTTAGCAAGAAAACGCAACAACCTAAAACAGAAGCCAAAGCAGCAGGCTACTTTGGGAAACTGCAAATGGCAGGGGCACGTTACTTATTTGTTTGTTTTCTGGTAGATCAAAACACAGTGTTGGGACCAAAGCAAATTAGAGCACAGCAAGAAGGCACAGGGTCCAGACCAGGTTAGACAAGGGATAAAGGGCTCTGCAGGCAACGAAGCCTTATTGAGTCTAACTGAACAACTCAAGAGCATTAACTGAACTCCACCAGAAGAACAAACAGATGGACTTCATGCTGATCAAAGAGGTACAAACTGTATCACGGTACGAAAGAGGCAATTCTGTTCCCAGGTATTCCTCTTACTGGCTTGCAGTGCAGCCTGCAGAAATACATAACGTGCAGATGAGACGATCAAGCCAGAGGCCCCTGAGCTGCTCAGAGGAAGCCAGATGGCCACGCCACACTTCCCCCCGACTAGAAAGGGGCACACTTACGGTACACGCAGAAGGAAAGACTGATTGTCCACGTTCGCGCATCATGCGCACCACAGCCAAATTCCAGCTGTGGCTCTGCTGGCTTTCTCTATGACCTTGTTCACTAGGGCTCCCGTAAGTCACACTCTACTGCTTGAACACCCAGCGCTTTAACCAGGGACTGACAGCTTACAACTAGAGTGAGACACTGCTACCAGAGCAACAGCAGCAGCAGCTGTAGAATTATTTTTTCCTAGGTAAGGAAAGCATTCATACGCTGACTTTCTTCCTCTGAGATTAATAGCTAGGTTTGTGGGCGTTGCATCACCGCCGGGCAGACGCAAGGTTTCAATGTTTGGGCTCTGATCTCCAAGTAAAGAGACAAGGGGCTCAGACTGACTGCTGGTGAAGTTGCAGACAAGCTCTTCACCGTTTAGTTGCAAAACGGGGATCAAGTCACATCATCTTTGCGCATCATGGGTAGCGCCAACTAATCAGCTTTCTCAAGCGCTGCACAGAGACGGAGTACTTATTTTGAAAGATCGTCTCCAGCCTACTAAGGGAAACACTTCCCCAGCTCCAAATTCATTCCAGCTATTCAAATCAGAGCATGATCACTGGCATTTATTAACAGTTTTAGTGCTACACCCAAAACCAGCTCAGAAGGCTACAGACTAAGCCAGTAGAGGACCACTCGGAAAGATGGCTTTAGGTTAATGATCCTTTACAGGTGCTTTCATCAATGCGAGTTTAGCGTGAATAAAAACATCCACAGGAAGGATATGAAAGGAAAAAGCCTGGCCTCCTGGAGCAGTACTTAAAGGCAGCCATGCTCTTCCTGAATGGTGATTTCCAAACATGGGCCTTAATAACTGCTCGCAGTTACAGTTTCAGAGAAAGGGGAGATGACACAATCTTGACCTCTTCACAGATGCTTTTGTCCGTAGCTCATTTCATTTTTCATAGCTTCTAAACTTGAGAGAACGTTCTGCCTTCTCTCCCCAGTTTTCCTGAAACTCTTCAGAAAAGTCTTCTCTTTCTCCCTACTTACAACCTGTTCCCCCTTTCTCAGAATCCCAGTCCACCTCTCAGTCTTAGCAGCATGCTACACGAGACCTGCTCTCCTTTGGGAGGAGCACTCCCTCCCACCCCACCTCATGGATTCCAGCACGCAGGCAAAATTCAAAAGCTTCATAAAGCACAAAAAAAGCAAAGAATCTAGGGACAGGAAAACAAGACCTAAATCCACACTGAACAGGGGCACTGTCACTTCTGAGTGCAATCCTGCTCAAAACTGTTCAAAGAACTGTGTAGGTGTTAAACTTTCTGCTGAAATACGATCATGTTTCAGAACTTGTTCCAGATCTCACCCCTTTATTAGTAAGCATGTCTCTAGCATATTTCCTGTAAAGTATCACTTCAGTCTCACGCATGGAACGCGGCAAATCCAGGGGTTTTAGCATCAAGTAACTTCTCTGATTAACTAATTCACACACCAAGTATCAAGATGGGACATTAAAGTACCCATGCTGCTAAGAACCTCATCATCTCTCAAACATCTGAATTACAGCCACATTTTTACCAGCTAGATCCCCTCTGATAAGCATGCCCTCAGCTTTTCCATTTTACAGCCTTAAAAATATACATACACAGACAATTCTGGAATTCTATAGCCAGAGGTTTTGTCTGTCCAGTCCAGGGAATTAATGCACCCAGAACCGCAGGACATTCTACATCATCCATACGTTTTGAAAACAAGTCTGAAAAATACTTTACCTCTGCAGCGTGAATGCATTCCCTAAGCATGATGGCCTGAGCCAGCGTGGTGTGCAAAAATCACAAGCTCAGAACAATATCCAGCGGGAACGGTGCTGAAAAAGTCACAGCCTCTGCCGCTAACTTCAACAATCCTTACGCAGATGAAGAACACTGCCACTGTCTTGTCAACAGAATTTGTCTTTGAAATCAAAACTGAATTTCCATATCCTACCTGAGGTTAAGATAGTCAATTTAAGACAGCCATTCAGTAATCCAGCAAGAGCACAGGTAAGAAATGCACAAGAACGTAAGACGACCCATAACAAAACAGGGGAAAGAATCTGATTGATCCTCCCTTTTTCTACAAAGGCAACATCTTTTTAGTACAGAGAGAAGAATTTTACTAACAAATGAAATTCTATGCATTGTCTTCAGATTTGGATGGAATAAGATGGAGACAAATTGTGTTTAAAAAAAAAAATCAATGTATGACAGCGCATCAACGCGCTCACAGGGTTTAAGCGTCACAAGCTCAAAGGACAGCATTTCACTTTGTCTAGACCCTGGACACCTGCCTAGCATGGCTGCACTGGGGCAGAGCAGAAATACATTTAAATATATTTAAACCTAATATTCTGTATCCAGCATGTCCGATAGCAATAGATTACACAAGAAAATTCCAGTTGGAAGGGACCTCCAGAGGCCACCTAATCCAAGCTCCTGCTCCAAACAGGACTATCTTCAAGCTGCTCAGGTGCCTTGCGAAGAGTATTAAGGTTAAGTACATGAAAATGTATCAGTATTCCCCCAGCCTCCATCATTTTGAAGGTCAAGAGCCTCCTGCACCTGAAGCGGTATCTGCAGTTTGCCCTCACTTCTGCTTGGCTGGCCGGTATCATTGGTTGAATTTGAAACATTAACAAATAACACAAATGTCTCCTAAACAGGAAATACTCTTGGTAAGGCTTCCACTTTCCAATCAATACCCAATCTGTGCTGTAGTCCATAGAAGAAATTGTTCATTTTCTGTTAACTGAGCTTCAAGTGTAAAACACGCCAACAATTCCATTTCTCTAATTCTTTGACTATCTCAGTGCTTAAGGAGCTACAAATTGCTGTTTATTTACCTGTTTATTAGCGTGTCAAACCCTCAAAGACAAGACATTTTTAACTCTGGCTCTCATATACATCATTTCCTATGCCAGTTCGAGAAAGCTTCGTGCAAATATGAAAGCTTAGTGAAGAGAGAGCTTCGCTGTTAGTGAAAGCATATGCATGCGACAGTACTAACATGTCCTTCCTCCTTCCATCTCCATTCGCACCTTGTACTCCCATTTCCTCTTCCTTTGCCATCCTAATGGCTGTATAAGCAATTCAGTAGTTAACACTGACAAACAGGCTTACCAGACTTTACAGGTACTGTCCTGGATATTAAGGGAAGGGCAGAAGGTCCAATAACAGGTCGCTCGATCCTGTCCTGCTGCATGCAGCGCAAAGTAGGCAGTCACGGAACAGGCATAATTTGCAACCACATACACTACAAAATTTTACAGGCATAACTGTAGCCTGGATAGAAACACAGCATGCCTTGCTCAGTTTGACTCTTCTGCAAATATAAGATTTTCTTTATTTATGGAATCAGCAGGCGCTCTCATGTCAAATCCAGAGCTATAGGCATCACAGGACAGATACTGTTGTCCTACAGAGCAGGCATCTTTAGTAATGAAAGATGAAAGGAGTTTCATTCAGATCGGTGCTCTATTCCATTAAGGAATTCACTACCCAGTAAGTCAAATCCACCCGCCTTTGCATAGCTTTTTCTCCTTCTAAGACGTTACAGCGCTCTCAGAAGTGTTTTACTCAAGAAGTACCTGCACTTCCAAAGAGGTACCTTTATTCCACTAACATGGCTGGACCCAGGAAACTTCCCAGACAGGGCTGTTCTTTCCTACAGAGTAGTATTTTCCATAAGCACACCTACCTTTTTGTGCTCCTGAAGTTAACTTGGTACCCAGGTATGGTTGGAGGCCTGTGAGGTGCTGGGATAGCTGGGAGTAGATAGAATGGGTTCAAAATTAAAGTCCAGTCCTTCTCCATCCATGAGGTCACTGTTGATTATGTAATCCATATCACATTCAAGGTTCTCCATGTACATGTCAATGTCCAGGTCAGTGGGCAGCCTGTCCTGGTTCAATCCCAAGGGAGCAGGGCTAGCAGAAGAAAGAAGTGGTGGAGTGCCCAGTTGGACTGACTGAGCAGCTGTTGCAGAAACTGGAGCCTTCAAACTGGCCACGCTGGCAGTGTTTTGAGGAGATGCTACTATGGGAAGTGTTGACGGCAAAACACTGGCACCAACTGGCTCTGCCTGCTGCTCTGTAGGCTTTCCTCGTGGATTACCAGGACTCATCTTACTCTGGGCAGCTTGTCCACCTAGAAGCAGAAGAGTTCGGCTGCTCATCCTGCTACCAGTCTGCGGGAGAACGGGGTCCACCTGAGTCATCATAACATCCCTTGGAGGCGGAGAGCTGGGTGTCAGAAGAGCTTCCAAGGTCTGAGGGCCAGAGAAATGGCTGACAGAACTCTGCAGCGAGATATCAACAGGATTAAACAGGGAATTGCCAAAAGTAGTGGTCTGACCAGCTGTGTTTGGGCTCCGCAAGGAAAAGCTGGAATCTCTCTGGATTGGACCACTCGAGGCAGATTGCTGGGTGGATAGCACAGTTGAGCTGGGAGACATTAGACTTAACCCATCAATGAGCTCAAGCTCCTCAGTCACAGTTGGTGGAACATTGCTGGATGCACTGGAGTACACTAGAGAAGGGAGAAGCTCTTCATCATGGAGGTCATCCTGCTCAGTCAGGATAGGAGAAAGCCTGGCACTAATGGTGCTTGCATTGGAACTGGTTCGAGGCCGGAAAGTGTTCCACACATCAGAGTCCTCATTACTTCTTGAGGATGGGCTCCCAGGCCACTTAGGGAACTGGGAGCCAGGACTGTCAGCAGTGGCTTCTGAAGTGGACTGTAGAGAAGCCTTCTTTTTGGATGCTTTACCTCTGACTTTTGCGAGTTTGCTGCTGTTGTCCATGGAGGCAGCTCTTCTTCTTGGTGCTTTTCCACTTTTACCCCCTTCAGGATTGAGCATCCACCAAGAACTCTTTCCTGTGGCTTCATTATGAACTTTAATGAACTTGCTGTGCAGGGACAAGTTATGTCTAATAGAGTTCTGGAAGGGGGAAAAAAAAAAAGCAAACCCAAAATATGAGGATCTGACTGTTGACACCACACTTCCCACCTAGGTGGGAATGCATTAAGATAGTACCCAGAGAAGAAAGTTATAACAAAGAAAATCTGCTAGTTTTGCTTGGACACGTTCGACAGCAAATAGCAAGGGGTGCAACGTCTCACTGCAGCACCAAGGGCAAGACTATCAATACAACTATAGCAGCTTCCCATTACCAGGACAGTGACATTAAAGAACTTCTCAAAAATCATATTCTATTGCTACGAAATCTATAACAACATATACAAGGGAGAGTAGGCAAATTCCCAAATAAGGCTTGCAAACTCACCATGAGCCTAAATCAATGTGAGTCAACGCTGCTGTGAGAAAGGGGCACTCTTGTCTTCCCTCCTACTCCTACCCTTCTGCCCACCCCAGCAGTCATATGGAATAAATCTGGCTGAAATTCTGAATTTTGGTACAGCTCAGAGGATCACTGACTTTGCACGGCTTTCGGCCGGATCAGAGCATTAGGCATAGCAGTGAACCGGATTAAATAGACCGGGTGAAGAGACGTGTCAAACGACTTCAGATTCAGTATTTCCCATTACCATCTTTACTCCCAAAACAGATATACAAGAGTGAAACTTTGTGGAGCAGGAGTCATGGTAAGCCTGGAGGCTGCCAGCCTCACTCTGCAAGGAGGCAGTATGCTTTCCTCCATGCGTGTTTCTAGGGGGGTAAGATGTTCAAGCAGATACTGTACTCCCACACTGTACACGCCAGTCTTAGCCTCTCCCATCTTTTCATTTGGCAAGCCACACATTCCTTGCCCCTCCTCCCCACCCCCCCTTTTGTTTAGTTTTTCTACAAACTGCTAGCTAACATCTCTGTATACCATTATCGAACTGAATTTTTGTCCTGCAACCTTGCTGGTAAAACCCCCAGTATTTTAGAATCAGCAAGCAATAATCTCATTGTTGGAGCAGATCGCCCTCGAGAACCTAAGGTCCCCTCGAGAACCGCAGGGGGCATTGTTTAATATCTGCACCCGATTTGTCCAGATGGTCAAACTGCACATAGTTAAAGGTGCTGCACTGGTGGCATAGTGATCTAAGAGTACCTGTTATTCACATAAGCAAAACAGCCTACAGCAGCCTTCAGCTTTCATGTGCTTTTATCATCCTTTTCCACCTCCTCTCAGAGTTCTTTCCTGCCTAGTGCTTTCCTTCTCCCCACCCTTTTCCTCTTTGACAAGTCCTTACTAGGCTAATTTTGTCCACCCCACCAAAAGTACTGTCCTAAAACAAAGGAGATGTAGATAAACAGAGGGAAAGTGGAGAGTTGTCATGGAAAAGGAAGGACATGTGAGAGCAGTCCTGCGTTAGCTCTCATTTTAATCTTTGGCTGCCCAGGATTCGGAGAAGACTGTTTGGCTGCTTGTGATCAGTATCAAAGGATAATAGGCTCTTATTCAGAGTGCGCCCCAAGGGTTTCTGAGGAGCTTGGACTTGCTGGAACATGCGTCAGTCAATGTCCTTATGCTGTTACGCGACCTGAGTTTTTCATAGCAATAACTATACAACAGGCCTGTCTGGCCTTTTTTTTTTTTTTCCTCTCCTTAAATAAAAATTTATTTTCCTTCAAATTTCAGGAAAAATAATTCAGACTGGTACCCTGTCTCCTGAAAAGGCTGCTGCTTTGATTTCCAAAGAATTCTCTCTCCTCCACGTGGGTGTTCCTGACATCAAATACATATTGTTGCAGTAGTAAAAAAAAAAAAACACACAAAAAACAAAAGAAAACCCACACACATGCGCACACTGAACACCACACTAGGTTGTCATATTCTTCATTTATTCTTCTGAAAGGAATCTGTGAACTCTTGTCACCAAGTCCCATCAGGAATGACTCAGTAGCTTGTACATGCATGTTTGGAGCTGTATAACTGCTGGGTTCTTAGCACTATTTACTGAAACTAAACTTTAAACCAACAGGTCCAGGATTTCACAGAATTTCACAAATAACTATTTTCCATTTTCTGCTAGATATCATTTACGGCTAAAGTCACGTTTTAATTCCCATGCAACAAAAGCACACTACAGAAGCGCAGGCCTTTCAGTAGCACCGAAACCTGAAGAAAATGGACCATCACTTCTGGCACCACAGATGGAAATTTTAATATCTAGTTTTCAATAGTCTTTTGGCTGAAAAAGAAGCTTGAAATAAGACTGCTTGAAATAAAGCTAGCATTCACATCAACATAGACACGGGAAGCCTGGAACCTTTTATGCCAGAGTCTCAAAGTGCTTTTACATGTTACTATTAAACTGACATAATGGCTAATAGCTGTAGAAACGGCTAATTGCTGTGCCACTCCTTCCTTCCTCATCTCCTAGCCCTCTGCCTCCCACGAACACAAGCGTTTGTCTGACTATACACTGGTTCAGAGAGCTAACCCAACCCAAAAAGTAGCCCTATCCCCCCTTGAAAATTACTTTTCCTGCCCATTTTGGCTCCTTGAACTTGCTCCCTGGGCAGTCAACCACCAACGGGTAAGTAAGGAAGAGAGCAATGTATGGTTGGAGGCAAGAGAAAAAAGCAGGACACTATTACGGCTAATTGCTGTCAAAATTGCAACTCCTAAGTTATCAGACATGTTCACACCTCTCATACAAGCTTTGTGAAGCAGCTCACCACTACAGCTACACCCAGAGTCGTAATGCATCCGCATGCCTGAGCCCTGCGGTGTACTCACAGAATGGTTGAGGCTGGAAGAGACCTCTGGAGGTCATCTAGTCCAACCCCTCTCATGCTAAATATATGTAAAAGTACTAAAAGTACAACAAGACTCAAGTCCAGATGTTCCCCAAATAGAAGTGAACTGACTCACCTACCAACCTTGGTGCTCTGCGAGAGTATAAGCAACTCTGTAGTGAACGACTCTTGACAACGGGAGGAGACCCCCTGGAGGCGTATCAGGAAAGTTAGGACTCCAGCAGACAAGAGGAGCTGCTATTTCAGGCAGGTGCTAATCTCTATGACAGGTAGCAGGAGGAAGACTCCTTTACTCTTCCCTTTCTCACGTTAGTGCACTGCACGCTCTCCAGCACCAGAGTGCAGCTACTAGAATGATTTAGCGTGCCTACAATACAGAGGGCACTCTCAAATCTCACTAATGAAAAATTAATTATGCTAAAATAATGGTAGAACCCCAAGTCAAACCTGACAGGAGAGGAAATGACAGAATTCAATTGCCTAGGCAACCCTGACGCGCTTCCTTTTCCACTGTTAGGCAACTCGAGCCAAAAATATAGGTGAAGTTAGCTTTTCAGATGTCCAGCTTCACACCAGTTGGGATTTTCCTACACTGCTGAGCACCTGCAATCCACAGAAGCTTTTAGCTATGCAACACCTGTGAGCATAAGGAAGTGCTATTTGAAGGAACAAGCATAATCAGAAAACCTTCATTCCAAATCCTCAGGAACCCCTTCAATAAGTGGCGGGAGGGGAACAGCACTACTAACTCTTTAAACATCTTAGAGATTCTGGGGGCTAAATCATTTTTCTGAGCATATGCTATGCTGCGTGTTAAGTACTGTGATGGAAAAATGCCAGTCTGGGTCTCTGATCTGCCACAGATCAAAGACGATTCCTGTAAACCATATTCAGACAAAACCATTACGAAATTCATGACAGATATTACGTAAAATTAAAGTTTGGCTAGAAACATTTACTGTACGCTGAACAATCAACCATTCCCTCGGCCCCAACCTCCTCATGTACAAGACAGGATATACGGAAAAGCCAGAGTGGTACAACTAACAGCATATACAAATGATTTCCTAATTCCCAAGTAGTTACCACAGCTCTAAAACTTCTTCTTTGATAAAAATCTCCCAGTCCTATTTACTGAAAAGGAGCGCTCCTTCCTTCTGCAATAGGCTGTCCCCCCGCTCGGTGTCAGGGAGTAGGTGCTGGACCCTGTGCAACGCAACAGCACGTAGGTCTGAAGACGAGGAATCGGCCACAGGAACTGGCAGCACAACTAAGCGATTAGCTCGCCCGGCCAATCCTTCCAGGCAAGTGCCACAGATACTGAAATACCATGTAGCAAGCTCAAGTGCTTCATATGCAAGATAGCATACCAGCGACTGCCTCTCCAAGGGACCACATGGCTATGTGGGTAAGCTTCAGGTTACTGACCATAAAATTCAAGTTTTTCTCTCAGCAGATCACAGCGTTGGAGCCAAGTACTTTGTTCAGATATAAAGGTCTTTCACATCAGCCAAGAGTAACAAGCTCTACCTTTCTCTCCTGCAACATACCTTTCTGGAAGTACTCATCTGATCCGAGCAAGAGAGGAGAAGGCTCTTCTGTGCCTGGCCTGGAGCAGCATGCATATGCCGCAACTGCGTGAACCGTGCTAGCAGAGTGCTCCAGGCCAAGCCAAGTACAAGTTGTACCGAGAAAGACTCAAAAAACAGCTATCCCTGAAAACTGCAGGCTTGCCCACGTCCGCCTGCGTTTTCATGGACTGACAATCACCACTCCTCCAGCACCAGGACTATCCTTCCTGGAAAATTTCAAGTTCCTACTGCAAATGATGGAAGCACCAGAATTCTTGGCAAAATACCTCTCTCGAGACTTAATGACAGAAAACACTAGAAAATTCCAAAGTACAGTCACTGCTGCTCCCTCTAATACATTCTCGCTGCCTTGGAGGCATACAAAGAACATGGTTACAACCCGGCATAGGGCCACGTTCCAACGCTAGGCCTGTAATTGTGCTAAATTATAATTTGCCATGGTATTCTTCGGAGGCTGCAAGAGGAGGATGCTCCGCCTTGCACATTTGTCAGCGCCTGTCTCAGCATTCACTCCGGCACTTGGCTCCAAAGGCTTTAGGAAAAAGTCTTCATTGCAGAGATTTTGCAAAGTTGCACTCCACTGAGTAAACAACTGCTCCGGAGCCAGAGCACCGAAACATTTCTCCCCTTCCAGAACGCCCACGTGAGCAGACACCAAGCTCAGGAGACAGAAAGCTGTACCTTTGAATCCAAGAAGAGTTCAGAAGAAAAGAAAAATCTTAGTTCTCCCAATAGAAAGACTGAGGCAATTTACCAGTTTACTAAAACATGCAAGCATATACAACAAAAGCAACGTTGGATTAGGCAGAGTAGAAAAAACCTGCTGGAACAAGTAATAGCAGCATCCAAGGAATAACCTTCACTGAGAACTCCCTGAAAAATTGAACTGTTCAGCAAAGCAC